GTCAAATATCTGACTGTCTCCTAAGTTCTAGGTACCGTGACTCACCGTCCTGGTTGTAGCAGGTCAATGCAGCAGACAGGGACCTGTGCCTCCAAACCTAACGAAGAGAGACAAACGTAAACAAAAACCATAAACGATCCCATTGTGATCACAGTGGACACCTGAAGGAGAAGGATAGGGATTTTTGAAACCATAAAAGGGGAGCCTAACCCATCCCACACGGTGAGGAAAAGCTTCCTGGATGAGATGAAATTTAACTGTATTTGAGACGTGAAGGATGAGTGGGGGCTCGTTATGCAAAGGAGAGGGCAGCAAGGGACGAGGAGGGCCGGAAGGAATGACTCCCAGAGTTCCACAGGACGACGTGAACGAACACTCCATCTTGCTAGACCCGACCGGGGCACATGACTGCCTGTGGTCCCCCCTGACTGTCTTTCCCAGAGGCTTTACCTCTGGCAGTTGTGGACTCTTCTGTTGTCCTCATGTCCTGTCTTGACACAAACCTCCTGGGAAGGTCTTTACCGGGTTGGTCTGTGTTTCTTCTTTACTGCGATGATGCAACAATTGGCCCTCTTGGGAAGTAACATATTTCTGTGTGGTCCCAGCTGTTCTTCATAATAGATGCCTAAGTTGAGGGTCAGCAAAAGTCACAGGTGGGCAAGATCAGCCCACACCTGAGACCAGAGGCAGCAGGTCTGGTGGTTGGACTACAAGCCACCGGCTGTAGTGTCCGAAAGGCTCTGTTCTGGGTTCACAGCAGAGCCAGGAGCTTAGAATATTGACTTGAGTTCTCTTGATTTGAGTTTTCTTCTCTGTAAAATGGCTGTATGAGCTTCTTATAAAGCACGCCTGAAGAGTGGCGGAAACGAGACAGTGTATGGGAAGCATGGGACTGCGTCTGGCACAGTGGATGGAAGTCATGTTTATCGAGGGCTTGGTCCTTGGCATCTACCAGAGCCTGCTGTCCTACGCTAGACACATGAGAGGACATTTTGTTAGTTGACGAATAATTATTCGAGTCTGTGTTAAAGGCTTAATGTCCTCTACAGATTGGTAGTCTTACGGCACAGTCTTTTCAAGAGCTCTCAGGAATGCTCGTGTCTGACATGCTAGTTCCATTACCAATGGTTTTGAAGAAGTCCATCAGTAACGGTACAAAGGCTATCAGCACCTCACGTGGACAGGTCTCTTCTACCTGCCACACAATGGCAGATATGAGCTCGCAAAAGCATAGGCACTGAGTGTATCAGAAACATTTACCTCATTGTTACTTTGCTTTTTCCTCAGAAATGCAGGCCCACACATAAGACTATCTAAAGCAGCCCCCAAAAGCATGAAGTTCTAGAAATAATCTCTGCTACCCTAGGAAACGTTCGAGTATGGGTTACAGACCATGAGCGAGCTTCGCAGTAGGCTCTTTCTTCAAACTGGAATGTTAGCTGAGTCCTCTTGAAATCCTCCCTCCTGGGTGACTGATGGTGTGGACTCAGTGTTTGACAATTCTCTGTGTAACTCAGGAGCTCACCTGGGCAGGATGCACTTATCTGCAGTATGGTTGTGAGTGTGCTGGTGATGCTGACGTAACATCGGGGCAAGCAGGGGTGCTACTTAGGAGGGAGTGTTTATAGGCAGGCTTGTCTGGTCCACGGGATCTCTCTCAAAATGTAGACTTTTGAGAAGAGGTTAGAATTTTTTAGGAAAGAGAAAAGTTATGTAGCATGGTTACTTTTAAAACAAAATCATCCTGGAAATAATACAATGAGGAAAGAGTTAAGATGTTCCAGAAAAAAATTTCATAGAGCTGAAGTACATATTTCCATTAAATGATTGTCCTCCAGCTGGGCTTGGTGACATACACCTAATCCCAGGTAATTCCAGTTCCTTGGAGGTCGAGACAGCAGGACCACAAGTTTGAGGCCGCCTGGGCAACTTAGCAAGATACTATCTCAAAATAAAATTTTGGGAAAAAAAAAGACAGAGGATGTAATTCATTGAGACAACATATCTAGCATACATGAGTTCCTGGGTTCAATTCACAGTTGTGCCCCTTAACCCCAAAAGCTGACCTGTAAATAAGCTAGATTATTTCATAAACTCATTAAGGTTTCATTCTAGGAACCAGAATGCTATATCAGCTTTGCTTCAGATTTTATTTGAATCACCAGAGTTCTTGATTTCTGAAATAATGCTTCATTCTTCAGGAATAGTTTCTTGGTCTTTTGTAGCTCAGCTCACTTAGCAAAGTGTACAGCTGTGCCAAAATAACCAGTAGATTATTTAACATAGAAAGCTTTAAATTGTATCTTAATTATGCTAAAAGATAGGTGGCTTAGTTTATATTTTATTAAAATAAGTAGCATAGACAGCTATTTCATTGCTACCTTAGCTTTAGTCTTGTACTTTGGCCAACTCTTTACAGTGATAAATGAAATTTTTCTTTTCATTGGGAAAAGCCAAGTTACTGTTGTTTTTGGTTATATAGTTGCATTCCTTCAGACTGTTCACAGTGAGCTAAAGCAAGAAACTGTAAACACATTTGCTGCTAAGATGCTTATTTCCTCAAAGTACGTGATAGACACCTTATGAATAGTTTGTACGTTTTTCAGTTTTCTTTGAATATTTTCTTAAAATTTGCATTTAAGAAAACAAATGATAAACAGTTTTCATTTATTTGAAAACTAGCTAAGAATAGGCTAGTCCTGACTATAAAGTACTCAGAATTTGAGTGCCTCTGAATTGTCACAGACGTGTATTTTCAGTTGTCCATTAGATATCTTCCAGGCAAAATGAAATTGCTTCTTTCTTGTTTCTCCTCCCTCCTGCTAAATCCCTGTCTTCATTAATGGTTTAATGATCCACCTGTTGTTTAGATGGAACCTTTGACCAGAAATCCCAGCATCTTCCTTGACTCCCATCTACTGAATTAATTCTAATCTGTCCATTCTATTAATTTTACTTCCACATTGTTGCCTAATAGGTGTCTTCTCTTTTTGATTTCCGGCTGCCAGTCTTGATTCTTGGGTGCCCAGGTTGGCCATCAGACTGGCCAGTTTGCCATCTATCTTGACTTAGTTTTCTCCATCTGATTGATGATTTCCTGACTTCCATAAACCTAACATCGATTTTCATTGTCATACAGTAAAACCTTTGTCCCTGGCTCTCACCTGCCCCGCAGCTTCTCTCTTGCCCCATTTCCTCTATAGTCTATACCTCAGCCTCACTGAGCCACCAGTTTCCTGAACCAGATCCTGCTGGTGCCACGTGACCCCTTGTGCCCACTCTCATCTGTTCTTCTGTTCCCGTCACACCGTCCGTGTGGCTCATGACCTGTGGTCCAGCTCATGGGTCCCCTCACCTGTGTTTACTGCACTGTCAGTCACTGTGCTCTCCGGAGTCTTCATGGTACATCTCTTAGGCTGTTTTCACTCGACACATTTTTGACACCAAATGAATGGGGTTTTCTTCTCACACCAACCAGCCCTCGAACTCTCTGGGTGTCCTGCACTGGAGAACAGTGAAGACAGCACGGGTTGACGAGTTCAGGCCCCAAAGACTGCCTTCACTTCAGAAGCCAGTTGCAATTATTGATCCTCAGATTACTCAGATATTTTGTTCAACTTCGCTATAAAATTCAGTCCCCTGATCAGCCTCCTAAAGGCTGATTTGCTAGAACAGCTCACAGAACACAGAAAGACATTTTTCTTTCTATTACTGGATTATTATGAAGGAAACATCGCAGGAACAAGCATATGAAAAAATTCCCAGGCATAGATATGGCGGCAGAACTTCTGTGCTACCTGGACTTGCTGTCTTTCCAGCACCTCAGTGTCTTCAACCCTCTCTGAAGCCCATTGCTAGGGCTTTTGATGAAGGTATCATTGCATATGATTGATAAAATCATGGGTCCTTGGTAACTAAACTCAACCGTCAGCTCTCTTCTCTCTTTGGAAGTTAGGAGGGAGGGACTGAAAAGTCTATCCTTGTAATCGTGACTTGGTCTTTCTGGTGACCAGCCCTCATCCTGAAGCTACCCAGAGCCTCCATCTTCCAGATACATTAGTATCTGTTAGCATACAAAAGATGGTTATTATTAAACACATATAAATTATACCTCTGCTGCAGATCCAGTATTGTACTTCATTGTACTTGGCTCCATGCCTCCCATCTGCCATTCAACTGTAAGTGTCCAGAGGGAAAGGATTACTTCTTACTGAGCTTTCATTTAGTGATCTATCTTCCTTTTGGCACATGACACAGCTTTTTCTGTATTCGTTTCTGCTATTACACTGGCACATCTTGATGCATATACTATTATTTACACAGAATTAGTGCAGTTAAAATTTCATTTCTAGCATTAAACCCCAAAGATTTGAAAACAGAGATTTGGATAGTTATAATGGAATGTTTATAGCAACATTATTCATACCAGACAATGTAGAAACTGACCCTGTTCATCAGCAAGTGAGTGCATAAGCAATGGTGTGTGTGTGTGTGTGTGTGTGTGTGTACACTAAATCTGGTAATCCTAACTTGTCATGTAAATTATGAAGATATTTAAATACCATGCATATTAATAGATTTTAAATAACACTCTTTTATTTTGAGAGGACAGATAGAATTGGGTTTATATGTAAGCATTCGTTTTAGGTGTTTTCTCGTGTACTTTTCAATACAATAAAATATAAAGTACACCCATGAGCCCCCATATCTAGGGAATTCTTGGGGGAAAATAGGGAAATCTCTACTTTAAAATGAACCTAAAGGCAGACAAATGTTTATGAGTATCAGTGTTATAAACCAACACTTGAAGCAATAAGGTGTATGAAAATTTTACATTTAAACAAGATTTTTATAGGCTTTTTTTGGGCTCTTTTTGGATCAGTATTGTGAACTGTTGATATTTGAAAACCTTGTATAGTGTTCTAACACTGGATGAGGATAGTCTTGTCTATTACAGTACATGGAAGAAGTATAAACACTATTTTTTCTTGTTTTCTCAGATTCTTTACAGAGTTGGAAGCGAGGCATCAGAATAATATCTTCATAGAAGATATAAGTGATATTGTAGAAAAACACACAGCATCCACATTTGATCCCTATGTGAAATACTGCACAAATGAAGTCTACCAACAGCGAACACTACAGAAATTGTTGTAAGCAATGTTGCATACTACTAATAGTCAAACCTACTTTTAATTAGAGCTCATGGTTGAAATTAACTGATCACATAAATTGTATATAAGGGCTTGATGATGAGCTAGTTCCCAGGGGAAAAATGTTTAGGAGGATTACTTTTAGGGTGAAGATATTTGAGTGGAAATATCTAGTCTTTGGAGTTTTCTCTCTAAAAGTCCTTATGAAATCATAGTTTGTTGTTGCCGTTGCCCTTGGTTTTGTTTTAATTGACCCTCGACAGAAGGGTGATCATAGTTCGACTTCCCAGTTTTCTAAGCCAGTACTTGCAATTAAGTGGTTTGCCTGAGGCCTAGAGTGGATTCTTAAGTAGGTGGACCCAGAAACTAGCACTCAGGGTTTTCTGGACCCTTGTAATCTTTCTCCCTGCCTTGACAGTTTCAGTAAGCTTTTCATAAGAATTGCTGTTTCCCAGCATGGTACTGGCAAAGAAATAGGCCTGAGGATCAATGGAACAGACTGGAAGACACAAAAACAAATGCAGATGTACTCAGCTACCTCATCTTTGACAAAGGAGCTCACCATCCTCAGTGGAGGAAAGATAGCCTCTTTAATAAATGGTGTTGGAAAAACTGGATATCAACCTGCCACAGATTAAAATTAGACCCTTATCTTTCGCCATGCACTAAATTAAAATCCAAATGGATTAAAGATCTAAATATTAAAACAGAAACATTAAACTTGCTGGAAGGTAAGTTAGGCAGAACTCTGGAAGACATTGGTATAGGAAAAGACTTTATGAACAAATCCTCAGTAGCACGGGAACTAGCAGAAAGAATCAACAACTGGGATCTCATCTTACT